CTGCAGCTCACATATTGAAGAATCTATCTTACCTCCCAATTCTGTAGGGACACTGAAAAATTCCATTTCTGGCATTGTGTCTAAAAGATAGTTTAATTCTTCAACACGTGTAGAATTTGAAAATCTGAGACGAAGAGAGGTTACATGACCTGTTAAATTATTGCATGAAACTCCTTTCCATATGCAACAATCATCACCGTTCCAAGAAGATAGAAGCTCCATTCCATGAACAAAACCTTCCTTTAACTTGAGAAGGGCTTGCTTGTCTGTCTCCACACAGATATCTTCATGCAAACTTCCATGACATAAAAAGATGCATAAAAAGGTGGTCACACAAAGCTGATAGAGTCTGCTGCGAAGCATGGTGATGAACTCTACCTTTTTTGAAAATGTTTTGGGATATTAAATGTGAAGAATGTAAGAAGTAGATAAGAAGTGAAAACTAGAGAGGGCAAAACATTTATAGACCACAATTAGAAGAAGCTAACTTCAATTCCATGGGAAAAGCTCATTTATTTTCAGAATTTTTGGCCTTTTCTGACTTTTGTAAGTTCTCCCCATTCCTAGTATTTTCCAAGTCTTTCCTGCAATACACTGATAGGTGACAAAAAAATCCACTTTTCTTTTTATATTGTATATTGTTGTAAAAATTTTAATCCTCGTTTTAAAAAGTAATAAGAAAAAAACTGCATTTACTTTGATTTTTTCTATAATAACATTTAAATGGACAGAGGAATTATATGTCTTGAAATAATATGATGATCTATTAGAAAATACTTCAATCAAAACAGTCGTAATAATAAGATCACACCTTCAATTTTGAAATTAATTCTTTTGGTTACCATTTTTTTAATTTTTTTTTGTTCAGATTTGTTTTGTGGATCCTATATGTTTTGTGGCTCAAATACTAAGTTTCTTTGAACTTATTGTATTTTCTTAAATCTTAATTTCTGAAATACTCTAATTTCTATTTTGTAATTCTTTTTGTGATCCTATACGAATTTTTTTTAACCTTACAATATAATAATTGCTGGTATGTGAATTTTTTCATGGCTTTTTTGCTTTATCTTTTTCTTCTGTTATGATTTTTTATTATAAAATTGTTACACAGTCCTTGAATATTACTATGTTATAGTCCATATTTTAGAAATAATCAGATTATTCTGAATTTTTGGTATAGCCTAGTGTTGGTTTTATAAACTGAGAGTTCACTATTGCAATTATTGGCTTCAGTTTTAGGAAGATTTAAGAAAGGGACCCAAGGTTTTCAACAATTCAATTTGTTGTGGTTATTTGGAGCTAAGTCACCAAATGCCTTCACAATTCGTCTTCTTGTCGTCCGATCTCGCTCCAAGCTTCGTTGTCCACTCCTATCGTTCGGGAGAACCTGTCAAAGATTCTCCAATGCCTACTAACGATTCAATGAAATAGTAATGAATGTGCAGTAAATACAATTTATCTACCACTTACCTCTGGCCTATATTTATAGTTTTTTCTATGGGCTTGGGATTAGTGAAAAGTTAATCACGGCCCAATTCCAGCCCAATAACTCTAATCCTTATTTACCTTAATTTTCGTCTCAACGACTTGGTTTTGACGATCGTCTGATCCTGCATAGCCGACCGTATGGTAAAACGTCATTCTTCACCCGTGTGGAAGGATGAACAGTCGGATGGCATCGTGTGTGAGGTGAATATCAATGCAAGGCATCCGACAATACTGTTAGAGGAGTAAAAGAAATAGAAGAACCGCCAGTGGTCAAAGTCTTGGTGCTTCTTTCGGACTACCCGGTCCATACAGTACACAATTGTTACTTTTGTTAAAATAAACGCACAAATTTTTTTATTACTTCAAGTTATAGTAGACAAAGTTTCCAACCATAATTAGTATCTTAATTTTATTATGTTTTAAATCTTAACTCGTAGAGTCTTTAATTTCTATTTTGTCATGAAAGATGTTGAAGTATGTTATTATTATCTCTAGCTTAAAATTTGAATTTTTACTAACACAATAAAAAAAATTACTTTTGGTATTTCAAGCTTTTTATGTTCATTTTAGCTTAGTGATAATTACAGAAAACGTAAATTTATCTCTGGTAAAATCCGTAACGTAAATTTATGCTTGTTTAAATAACAGAGGTAAAAAATTTACAGCTATTTCACATAGGCAATAAAAATAAATTTTTTACCTTTTTGTTCTCTGTTTTGTACAAAATTTACGAAAATTAGTGTTGTACAAGACATAAATTTTAGAGTTTTTTTTTCTAAAAAAATTGAATTAGTTTTGACATGAAACCAAAACTTGAAAAAACAGAAAATATCCATAATAACATATACATCTCAAATATAACGTATATTTCCAAAGTCAAAATTAACTAATAAATAAAAAAAGATAATTTAACTTAAAATAAAAAGCTAATCAAAACCTAATATTATATATAATACTTTTATAGCTTGTCTATTCTAGTCTTATTTTGCTTACATTCTCTTTTTACATGAGTAAGGAATCCTCAAAAACCTAAAATAATAATATAATGTTATTATGTATAAAATTCTTCAAACCATACCATTCATGTACAAGTTATAAATATTTATAGTTTTCAATGACTTTTGCCCTAATAATAGTTTTGATGAAATACATTGTATAGTCTATCATATTACACTAAAATAAATAAAAGAAAATTTAATACCATACAACTTCTACAGAAGATATATGACGATAT